GGCTTAAAACGTTTTAATCTAGGATAGAAACCTGTTGAATTAAAACTTGATGCTTTAGGTATAAATCCGGCCTAATTTGGCTTAAAACGTTTTAATCTAGGATAGAAACCTGTTGAATTAAAACTTGATGCTTTAGGTATAAATCCTTTTGAATTTGGCTTAAAACGTTTTAATCTAGGATAGAAGCCTGTTGAATTAAAACTTGATGCTTTAGGTATAAATCCTGCTGAATTTGGCTTAAAATGTGTTAAACCTAATTCAGCAGCTTTTCATGCTAATCAAAATGCTCTTTTCTAGTTTAACACATTTCCAGCCAAATTCAGCATGATTTAAATCCTGCTGAATTTGCCTGAAAATGTGTTAAACTGAGATAGAAGCTGGTTGAATTGGGATGTTTTCACTACATCGGTTAACAGAGTTAGTATTAGAATAAAGTCTGGGGGGTTACCAAGCTCAACAATTCCTCCCTTGTAGAATGAGAAGCATTGTTATTGACTGCTCAGTGTCTGTAACCTGACACCCTCCTGATTGGTTGATGCCATGTATCCATGTCCTCCTGGCAGTGATCGACGTGCTGAGCCTTCATGACTCCAAGCAAAGCGTTGCAGCAGTGCAGAAGCTGTCAGGGAGTCTGAGCGCGCTCAGTGACATCTACGTGGTGTCGACGTTCCGTCTGCCGGTGAAGATGGGCGGAGTTCTGTTCGGACTCTACAGCAAACAGGACAACAGGAAGTACCTGGAGGTGGCCATCATGGGGAAGATCAACAAAGGTTGGTGGGAATGTAGCGCCTCGCTGCCATGGCTTTGGTCCTTAGTTTGAAACTGCAGGAAATCTCAGTTTTCCACACATCCTGAATGAGTGTGGAGGGGGGGGGATCGGCATCATTAAACTTTTCCTGTTTTATTTATTGATAATAAAAAACACAAAAATCTGGATGTAACGAAACATAAACTGCTCTTTTTATCCCTTTTCTCCACCTCTAAACCATCTGTATTAGTACTTGATGTCTTAAAGCCAAACTAATGTTCCTGCTGGACAGAATTTTGGCCGCATGTCTTGTTTTTCTGCTTCCTCCTGCAGTGAGCTGCCAGCAGGCGCCTCCCTCAGACTGTTTATTCTTTAAACTGTTTCCATGAAGTCTGTTGCATCCCTTAATCCCTCCTCAACATGAACCATTCCTCTGTTCCTCTCCATAAAATGCACCTCGTTTAAAATAAAGGAAATGAGACCTGGAATCCTTTCAGTGTCTGAGGAGGGTTTTCCTCAGTGAGTGCAGAAAGCAGGTGAACAGCTGGAAGTCTCCTCCTCTTCCTCAGTCCTGCTGCGGTACGTCAAGGCTGACGGGAAGATCCACACTGTGAACCTGCAACACTCCAACCTGGCTGACGGACGCACTCACTCCATCATGGTGAGACTCGGTGGCCTCCGGCGCAGCAGCATGCAGGTGGAGCTGTATGCTGACTGCCGATTGGTCGACTCCAGTGAGGGCGCGCCCCCATTGGTTCCTCTACCCAGAGAGGCGGAGATGGTGGAGATCCGACACGGACAGAAGTCGTACAGCCGACTGCAGGTTAGAGGGAACCAAGACTCACTTTTAGACACATAAAAAAACCTAGAAAACTGAAAGAACTTTGAATTGAACTTTATTTCAGGAGAAACTTAACCTTTATTGTTTATTGAGGGCTGAAACAGCTCAGAGTCTTTCAGCTTAAAAACTGAAACAAGAACAAAAAAAAACTTGTAACAGAAATTAGGAAAAGATCCATTTAGGATGCAAGAGGAACAGAAGGTGCTGCATCCTGCAGATCCTGTAAAAACTCCCATAAAACATTGTTTGCTTTCTATTTATTTCCGATTGATAGAAATTGCCGGCAGTAAGTCAGACCTGTTCCTGATGCATGTTGGTCTCCTCCAGGGCTGGAGGGACCGGAGGGTGTCCGGTTCAGGAACCTCAGGATATCCTCTCTGCTATTTGTCCTCATCAAACCAGGACCTCCAATGTGCAGTGGGGGCGGTTTACAGCCAGGTGTGGGGGGGCTAGGATGAGAATCAACGCCTCTAAATCTGAGGCCATGGTTCCCCACCGGAGAAAGGTGGACTCCTCTCTGCAGGTCGGTGGAGAGTCCTTGTCTCAAGTCGAGGAGTTCAAGTTTCTCTGGGTCTTGTTCAGGAGTGAGGGACAGATGGAGCGTGAGATCGATAGATGGATCGGTGCGGCGTCGGCAGTGATGCGGTCGCTGCGTCGGACTGTAGTGGTGAAGAGGGAGCTGAGTCAGGGGGGGGCAAAGCTCTGGATTTACCGATGGATCTACGTTCCCACCCTCAGCTATGGTCAGGAGATCTGGGTAATGACCCAAAGGACAGGATCGCAAATACAAGCGGCCGAAATGAGTTCCCTTCGCAGGGTAGCTGGGCGCACCCTTCCAGATCGGATGAGGAGCTCAGTTACCCGGGAGGAGCTTGGAGTAGAGTCGCTGCTCCTCCACGTGGAAAGAAGCCAGCTGAGGAGGATCAGGGATCTGTTCCTGATGCCTCCTGGTTGCCTCCCTCAGGAGGTGTTCCAGGCATGTCCCATCGGGAGGAGGCCTGGTGGAAGGACCAGGACACGCTGGAGGGACGATGTCTCTAAGCTGACCTGGTGTCGCCTCACCGTCCCTCCCAGAGCAGCTGGAGGAGGGAAGTCTGAGCATCTCTGCTTAGACTGCAGCCTCCGCGACCTGACCTGACCCAGATAAAGAGGAAGAGGATGGATAATAGATAATAATGAAAGGATTAGCATCATGTTGCTAGTTTATTCCTGAAGCATCACTGATACTGCAGATGTCATCATCATCACCAATGTGTTGCAGGCGATCTAAAACATAATCAGCTGATCTGATTGAGTTTAGAGGCAGATGTTGAGTCTGGGAGTTTGATCAGTTTAGACGTGTTTTTTCTTTCCGTGATAAAAACTAACTGGCAGGCGTCCCAGACGACGGTCTTATTCATGGATTCATTCATATTCAGGATGTCCAGCAGGAGACGTGCGTCTCTGTCTGTCTCATGGTCCCTTTCTCTGTCAGGGTGCTGTGGAGTCCCTCCGCCTGGCTCTAGGGGGCACCGTTGCTAGGGCGGGTGCTCTGACCGACTGTCCATTCCAAGGAGACGCGTCAGCCTACAACTCAGGTGAGCTCACCTGGATCTCAGCAGAGTTCCTCTGTGGTGTGGTTCTGACCCGGATGGTTTGTTTCCTCAGTGAACGGCGAGCTCCAGTCCATCCTAGGTGAGGGTTTCCACCACTTCTTCTGCTCTGATCACTGTTCAGCCTGGTCTCTGATTGGACATCATGTTTGTGACATCATCATCCGTCAGGTGAACACACCAAGGCTCTGATTGGTCAGCTCATCATCTTCAACCAGATCCTTGGAGAACTGCGGCAGGACATCAGAGAGCAGGTGAGACAGGGACTGGTACCGTGGGCAAGCCTGCCCTGAGGCATGCTGGGTAAAGAGGGAGGGTCGTTCTCTGTAGCACTGAGGCCGATGATGTTTCACCAACGCACCAGAAAGCACAAGTACGAAACAACCATAGCTAACCTGTCCTTGTCCTCAGGTGAAGGAGATGTCTCTGATCAGGAACACCATCCTGGAGTGTCAGGTTTGTGGTGAGTCAGCTGCTCTGTGGACGTCTCACAGCGACCCGTCTCAGCCCTGAGCAGTCTGTCCCTGTCTGTCCGTCTGTCCCTCTGTCTCCATCCATCTGCAGGATTCCATGAACCACAGTCCCGCTGCTCTCCAAACCCGTGCTTTAAAGGTGTCCCCTGCATGGACAGCCTGCAGTACCCTGGCTTCACCTGCGGACCCTGTCCCCCTGGAACCACTGGTAATGGGACGCACTGCAGGGACGTCGATGAGGTAACGTCCGGACGCCATCAAACAGTCAGCTGGTGATGGACGCTGCATGTGGACTCCTTCCTGTGTCTCGTCCTCAGTGTGAGCTGCAGCCATGTCATTCTCCTGATGCCTGTGTGAACACCGTGGGGGGCTTCAGCTGCAAACCGTGTCCTCCGGGCCTGTGGGGGGCGCCGCTGGCTGGAACTGGACTGGACTACGCCAAGACACACAAACAGGTCTCTCGCAGAAAGCTGCCAGTGTGGACAGAGTGTTCAGCCGTCACGATGTCGCAGAAAACCGATAAAGAGAGCGACTGTGAACGCAGCTCGTCAGATTCCAACCATCAGCTGATGGTTCATGACTTTAGCTTTAAAATGCTCCTCAGATGACATCATCATCACATGACCCAGAGGGGAGGAATGTGTCTGATGTGAGCAGATATGAGCGCAGGGCGGCGGCGGCGGGCTGCAGCTGGAAAGCATTACAGCCTCTGATACACAGAGAGCTTCCAGCTGTGGAGCAACCAGCCGACCCTCCTCATCTGGACCTCCTCAGGTTTCACCACCTCCCCTGAGATGCCATGAATGTCCTGCTTCTGTTCAGAGAAGCAGTCAGGCGGGTCTGTAACCTCCACAGTCTTTGGTTCTGCCTGTAAAACAGGAACATGTAGATTTGATCACCTGAAATGTTTCTGTAAGTTTTTATCCAATCAGGAATCAGTTTGATTAAACGCAGAAGATGATGACCTGGTTTTCCTAGATGTTCTGTGACTCGGCCCGTTCTGTGACTCGGCCCGTTCTCTGACTCAGCCCGTTCTGTGACTCGGCCCGTTCTGTGACTCGGCCCGTTCTGTGACTCGGCCCCTTCTGTGACTCGGCCCGTTCTGTGACTCGGCCCCTTCTGTGACTCAGCCCCTTCTGTGACTCGGCCCCTTCTGTGACTCGGCCCCTTCTGTGACTCGGCC